AGCTGGAACAAAACTGCTTCAAACAACTAAGAGTTTCTCTGTATTATGGCCTCGAACCGACATATATACATCCTTCATTTGAATCAGTATTAAAAGCTCTATTGGCTCCTACATTCGGATTTCGATAGGCGAGTCTCACCTGAACCGTTTTTCCATATTTTTGGCCTATGTGCGCTTTTATTCGAAACCTAAATGTTTCGGTACCGAGTATCGAGAGCATTGGATACTTTTTAAATCGCTAGCGAATATCTATCAATACTTAAAAGTATCGACTCAGAACATCACCACTGCTGTCATCTCGACTGTGACGTCAGCAAAACAGCTGATTCTGTCAGATTGACTGAGAGCCGATTAGCGGTGTAGCCATCGGCGCCACCTTCTATATTCTCTCCACCGTGGGACCGAACCTACAATTTTTGCCCGCCTCACTAACTAAGGATGCACATCGACAGTTTCTGATAAGAAAGACCGGTTTCGCCGTAGAACCTGACAACCCGCAAGAATAGGATTGACACGTCCGGCACTGTCAACAGTTATAATTTCGAGAAAGTAGAGAACTTCGTTTAATTGGAAACCAGCATGAACACCAATAATAATGTCAGCATCGAAACATTGGACTGAGTAGGCAATTCAGAAGTAAAGTCCTCTCTCAACTTATGAAAACCACTCTCTATAAGGCACTCATCATGCCCGTGCTGGTATATGGTGCAGAAGCATGGACAATGACAGCATCCGACGAGACGGCTCTTGGAGTATTCGAGAGAATGATTTTGCGGAAGATTTACGGGCCTTTGCCAGTTGGCGACGGCGGGTACCGCAGACGATGGAACGATGAGCTGTATGAGCTTTACAATGACATAGAGCTGCCAATTAAAATATAGCGGCTGAGCTGGGTGGGCCATGACATTCGACATGTTTTGAAGTTACCACTTTCGGGATGGCATGGATGCTATTTTCAGAATAATTTGAAAACCAAGAAGGCTATTTTCAATATTACCGACACAAAAAATGTGCTAGAAACTTAGCACCATACCTTTGCGTTATGGGCAGCATTAGTCTCGAATAATATTTCTCTCCTACTCTGTTCCGAAATAGAGAATTTTTTTTAGTTAATGGCAGTACGCGTAACATAGTTTGAGAACCCCTGCTCCAAAGCATTTACAACGTCTGTATTTACTTAACATGCTGCTGTAGAATACATTTTGCAATTATGAAGTCAGTTATTTATTACATTCTTCTTTTCTGAAAATTCTTGCAGCTGTTCACCCTGTATGCATGCCATACTCTTGTCGCGAGTGGCTAGGAATGTGCCAATGTCCTAGGTATGTACATATGTATGCATGTAAGTACCCAAGTATTCATATTGCCGCACAATCAGTACCAGCTTACTTGCAAAGGCGTTAACCGAGCGCGCATTTGGCCACCACCTCGATGGCTGAGGATGACGCGCTCTTTGACCGCGTGTAGCCGGCTGACAGACTTGACAACTGCAACGGCTTAGTTAGTTAGTTAGTTGATTGTTTATTTATTAACATATGTAGGTACATACATATGTGTTGTCTCTGGCAAGCAGCAACGCTTTGAGCTGTCCAGGGCGCGAAGCAACACCAGTGCGCGTTGAGCGCTGTTGGTGGCGGTAAAGTGCTGATGATGTTGTCACTTGGTATCCGCACTATTGGCACTCATCATTTAAGTTGAAGTTGTTGTTAGTGTAATTTTGTTTTTATATACCAGCTTTTGTGTGGGCGTGTATTTGTGTAAAGTCGCTAAGCAATCGAACACCAACACACTGGAACGGATGCAATTTAAGAAAAAATTTTAATGTATGTAAATAAAAATGAATTGCTGTATGCAATTACATACATATGTACATACCCATACTCTTATAAATTAATGTGTGTGTGTGTGTGTATGTCTGCATCAATATATGGCTATGTTGCAACTCTCGCCATGCATTTTAATTACAAATCACGGTCGCTTTTCATTGCATTCACGCGTGCTGACTAGCTGCCTAGCTGCCTAGCTGGCTTGGCATGCGCTATGACAGCGACTGTCGATGCGCCCGCGCAGAGTGCATATCGCCGTTTTGATAATTCTAGAGGCGTAGAGACAGACTTCTTTGTTCGCTGCACAAATGTACATACATACATACATACATATAAGGCATGTATGTGAACCCAACAGAAAAAAATTATCAATTGATAAAACTTGTAGTTAGATTTTTTGCGGGATTTCTATAAAATATATAACTTGTAGTTAGCTACAAGGAAATAACTTAAAACTAGTTGAAAAAAAGTAATGCAGACGTAATCGCGAGATTGTTTGCTTTAAACAAGTTTCTAGTTAAATATCCTCATACAAATTTTACTTTGCATACACTTTCCTTCTGCACTTCACAAATGCTTTTTCTAATTGAGGACAAATAAAAGGAAAATCAAAATTTGGTTTTACCATTTTGAAGTTATGCCTGACGGAGTTTGAATATGGGACCACCTACAGCAGATTATGTAAACAAATATAAAATATAATAAAATAAAGTAAATAAATAAAAAAGTAAAAAAACGAAAAAAAATATTTTGCTTTTCTTATGTCCAAAAGTAGTTAGTTACAAGTCAGTTGACATCAAATGCAGAGGCAACCAGCCTTGACTATTTTGCCGCCATCGCTATAGAAGAAATATAGTTAGCTTTTCTCGAAGAAAATATTAATTAATTCAAGTTAACTTTTAGTTAGATACATTTCCCGCAGGGATATATCTACACAACTCGCACACATTTGCGCAAATACCCATCTGCCCGCGCAAAAAAAAAAAAAAAACAAAAAAAAAGTTTTAAATTTTATAATGAAAATCATAATGCAAGTCGTGATGAAGATGGCTGACGGATTGCGCAGATTCTTGTTCTATGTAATTTATTGTTGTTGCCGATATTAACTGATTGTGGGTGTTATAGTCATCTTTTTCATTTTAAGTATGCGTGCAGCTATGAAGTCACCGACGCGCACAGATCTTAACTTTTATGATTTTTTTCTTTTAAGTAATTATAAATTCTTATTATATTTGCCTTTCTAACTGTGACTATAATTTGTTATGCGCACTTGGCAGCTGCATTTACACGAAGCGAGTTTCATATCTTATTTTTGTTGTAAAACATTACACGATACAAGTTTTTGATAACTATAAGCGATAAATATAGAAATTACACATGATTTATTTAAGTGTTTATCCGATATAAAATATATTGACAAATCGGGTTTTTACAGAGGACAGACGTATTCCCAGCTCCTGCATAATCGGTGATAACTTGTCAAGTGTACCTTTACTTGCCAAGTTGTCAGCCATGAAGTTTCCCGTACTATGGCCCCGTCATCTAAATGCGCCTGATTATTGATAAAGAGGACAGACACTCCCTCACTGATTTCGAGTGCACCACCACGTCGTTCAGGGCCCTTATAGCCGGTGGGGTATTAGTTTATATAACAACGTTACTTACTTCAGCAAAGAGTCTATCGCTGGCTTGATGGCGGCTATTTTAATTCCGCCTGAAAGTCACTACAGAAGTCCATAAGCTTGAACATAGGTTTGATAGCTTTCGCAAAAGAAACTACCACCAACCCTGGTTCCAAGTTTTCATTCGCCTGCGAAGAAGTTCACTGATCCCCATCCAGACCTCTCTTGGGAGCCATTTCGAAGGCAACCTACGCCTTTCTTCCCTTTGCTCAATATAAGGCTTCCACGACAGCTTCATATACAAGATCAGGCGCAGAAGGCACCCCGGATCGAGAGAAGAGCCACATCGGGGACATTATACTTCCTAATAAACAAGACGAAAATAAGTCTTTAAATAAATATTTTAGAAGATCTTCTTTACTCCATCTTTCGGTATGAACACCTGGATCGATTTGACTACATGGTAAAAAAATAAGAGTTTTTAATATTATTTTCGACTGCGCTCAAGCTCATAGCTTGCAATTTAAAAAATTACTATATAAATTGTCTTCGTTCGTTATGGTTCTAAAAAGTAGTTAGTGATGATTCCCATGGGAGGCAAGAGAAGACATGCGAAGAAAAACTTCGGCATAGTGTTTTTTATCAAGGAAGGATCGCTTTACGTGGACTTTTGACCAAATTTCCCTGTTGGTTTTCGCAGCCCACCGTGCAGCCGTGTTTGCAGAAGGTTAGAGATATGAGCGCGTCTTGGTACACTCCTTGCCAGCTCGTCGGCTGTGTAGTTGCCAGGATATCCCTGTATACAGGGCCCCATACAACAGTCAAGGAGTACTTTTTCATACAAGAATCCTACTGCATTCTATGGCAGCTTGGCTGTCGGAATAAATAGGGTTAGGCCGTTCAGGAGGGGCGGAAGTTGTGAGCCACCAAGCGGCCTCCATTATGGCGTTTAGCTCTGCTTGAAAAATGCTACAGTAGTCCGTTGAGCGGAAACAAAGGTTTAGTGCGAGTCCACCAGAGTGAATCCCACTGCCCACTCTTTCGGTTAGCCATTAAGCCTGGGTCAAGTTCGTTAGAACCTTCCTACTCGCTCTGGGGTACTTGTAGAAACTTTATTGTGAAAACAGATTAAAAAGTGGTATAATCTGGGTGTCGCAGAATACTTGGCCAGGAACTTTGCATGTCCGAATCTGAGATATCCACATCAGGATGGTATTTAACCAGGCAGCACTACAGACGACCAGAAATTTGCCATAGAGATCCACCGGTGGAAGATTTAATATTACTTCCTGGAACGGTCTGCGATATTTCGCTTCCAGACAAGTTTCCTGACTAGAGTAACTCCCAAGCTATTTGATCTCGGTTGAGAGGGTAAGTTCTAGACCGTTTAAGGTGAGAAGTTTGAATAGCGGAATTTTATAATTGCTCGTGAATAGTACCACCTCGGTCTTGGTAATATTGATGCTTCTTACACTTCATTGTTAATTTTTAATTCAGCATTTATTAATTAATTTATTTAATAATATAAATTATGTATGTATGTATGTCTCACCTTAAATATAGCTTTTTCGGTTTTAGAATATCGCCAAGTTCAAAATATTCGATTCATTTTGTTGCATCTTTCTTCACAAGTAGTTTTTCTTACACAACAGTAGTAGGTTCCAGTATTCTTTTAACTTTTTTATATCATACGATATTTTTTCAAATTAACATATAAATATGTATATTTTATTCGTTTATGTTTAATAACCAAGCAAGAACTCGAAATAGTTATTCAGTACTTAAATGCATACTTTAGCTTACTTTTGCTCGATGCTGTAGTGGAGCGCACATTTTTTGTTGATCGAAGTTGCGCTCACATGCAAAAATCTTAATTTTTATTTTTTAATTTTTTCTATATTTATTATAGACCTATAAATATTCCCCTCCAAGTCAAGTAGCTAATAATTGACATCAAATGCAACACAACGCCACAAAAAACGCGTAATTTTGGCAAAACTTTTCCAAGTTAGTGAGCTTGTAGCAAAGCCATTTTGAAGTTCAATCTATTTTTTTTTATATTTTTTTTTCTAAAAATATACGCTTCACAAATTGCCACAGCTGATGTGTTAGTGCGCGCGACACCCAGTTATGGTTGTCCAGTTAAAAAAAAAAAAAAACAAAAACGAAATCATTAAAAATTAATACAAACATCGACAACGTGGACGCAATACCACTGCACAGTTACAGTCCGCACCGCACTTAACTACGTTCCAATACAACACTTGCGAGTACTAGCACTCAAACACCCAAACCAATATATGTTAGTGTTGGTGTTGGATTCGATTGATGGAGAACAAACAATACGTTAGCGACACTTTTCAAAAAGCGAGTTGTTGTTAGCCTTCTTCGTTGCGCACAACGTACTTCACTCGCGAACGTCTCAGAAACGACTGGAGGAGAACGCGCTTGTACAAAAAACCGGCCCGCAACAATTGGTAAGAGCTCAAGAAAAGCTTTGAGCAAATGGCAACAATAATACGAATACGCATAAGTACGTACAAATCCCTCCTATTTAGACAGTGTTGCCAACTTTTCATTTTCAAAAAGCACCAAAAACTTGGAAAAAAAGCGTTTTACCAAACTAAAAGCACCAAATTTTTTTTAATCAAAGGATGCTTTTTTCATAACAGTTTGCATTTAACAAAAATAAAAAAATTAAAAATATTTACAAGGATGCATACATAAATTAATAAAAAAAAAAAAAGCCACATGCTATAATGACTCATGCTTACGTAATACCGAAGTACTGCACATTAAAACTGATATATCTCAAGAAAGAAAAATCGAATCCCAACAAACGAAAATCATGCCCTAAGTTGAAATGAGCAAAAAAAATTTATGTTTTCATTATATAAAATCAAATATCGCAAAAACACGTGTTCTTCGTAATCTGGGGGTAGAATATCTAAAAATTCTAGTACTAGAGCAATTGTGCGGCCAGATTTGGATTCAGCACCAAGAAACGATGTGTTTTACTCAGGCGATACAAAAATAAAAATTTTTACAAATAATTAGAAAAGAAAAAAGAAATACTTAACTTACTCGCATATCTACTAGCATTTTCAAGGCGAATAGAATTGAACAAGGTGGGTTTGCAAGTTCAGCGGTTTTTATCAATAATGGTTGTATTTAAATGCATTTAAATTTGTAGATTTTTGTAAATTCAGTGCTGCCACAGCTTTGAATATTTAAAAATTATTTCAGGTCTTAACTATATCGGAGTAATTTGAGTTCAAAAAAAAGCACTAAAAAAGGCACTAGGCACTAAATAATTTTTTTAGGCGTTTTAATTTTCAAAAAGTACTAAATCTAGTGCTTAAAGCACCAAGTTGGCAACTATGTATTTAGACTTCAACTTCGACTTCCCGCTCAACTTGAGTTTGCGTAGATAATTTTCGCGCTAAGTATTGAATTTTCAGCTTAATCTACTTACATACATACCTGCTGCGAATTTATCTGTGCTCTCTCTTTGTTTAGAGCGACGGTGTCAAAGCTCTTTGAAGATAGATACATTTCTCACCTGAATAGTCCGCTCACCTGTACTCGTTAGTAAATGTTATGAGAATTTCATTTCTCAAGCTCACCTGTTGTAGTTAAATAGGTACCTACATATTAATTAATTCATATCGATTTCGATTTGAGCGTCGCCTTTCAACGCCTCGCACCGCGTGTGTATAGTATTTTCTAATCGTCTTCGCGCATGTTCAAGTCCACCCAAAGTGATCAACAACGATCGCCCAGCACAGCAAATGCGCGTGCAGCGGCAGCATTCATCAGCTGTTAACATATAATTTTCTACGGCATATTTAATTATGCAGGCGTAGCATTAAGTGCATTTCCTGTGCTACGTAGTTGCTATGCAAAACGTGCTTCCTGTTAGCCTACGCGGCGATGCGACGAAAGTGGCACGAGGCCGCAACAAGAAATGCATTTGCATACAAAAACCAAAACGATTTTCACCTCATAACTAAATAGCAAATTAATACCTCCTAAAAATCTAGAAGAGATGTAGATATTTTGATGTATATTCGCGGGATTTAGGCAACAATAATTTATCCAGAAGTTATATGTAGCTGCTATCACCACAGCTCCTCATCAGACTTACCCAACCCCCCACACCGGATGCCGTATTTTTGCGGTAAAATCGTTTATTTCTTTCATTCGTTCATGTATTTTGTTATGCAATTCCAGTTCTTTTCATTTATGTTTTTCAGTTCCAAATTTGCATTTACATTCTACGGTCATATTTTTTAATTAACTGTAAAATCTACACATTTATATTTGCAGTCAACCACTAGTTTACTTACAGAGAATTGTACACTATGTGTGCAAAGTTTTTTATTTTAATTTGTTTTTACTATTCTTTAATTCATAATAACAATGGTAATAATATTCCGGCACTTACACTTTAGCTAAGTGTTCGGCCGAGCTTCTCCTCGTATTTGTGGTGTGCATCTTTATGTTGTTACGAAAGTGGAGGGACCTACAATTTTACGCTGCCTCCGAACGGCTAATGGATTTTTATGATAAATGGCAGATGTACACTCGGAGCCAGAAAAAGCTATTTCCCGGATCAGCGATCGAACCCAGAACCTACGGTTCTAACCACTCAGCCACAACGGCCCCCGTACAGTTCATAACACAACAAAAGATAAAAAAAAACAATTTCTTCTATTTTGGCAAACCTCTGAGATATTTTCCACAGATTTGCATAAAAATTTTCAACTTTCTGATCATATTTTTAGAGATTTCTTTTGTTGAGGTATAAACTATATTTAAGAAAAAAAACTTAGCAAAATTAAATTAACTAAAAGACTTAGCATACATTGCGAAAAATGTCTGTACGTAGAATTTTGTGGTTGACTGTATATATTTAAGTCAAGCCAAACATAAATTTTTAAATACTTTTTAACATTTACATACCAGGTACTTATCTAAACTTAATGTTGCTTTAAAAACTTTATTACACAGATGCAAGAAACCCTCTGTTTGTGCTCGCGAAGGCATTCCACACTCCTTTTGATGTTTATTTATAAAACACACACGACTTTCTTCTGTCCCTGGCACCTCAATACGAAATTGCCGTTTTCCAATTTGTTAACGTATATTCGCTGACCTTTGTGCCACATACTCCAATTAGCCTTCTTATACATTCTCAATCTTTGTAAGCTGATGCCCTTGAAATAATCTACCTCTGGAAGTTTCGCAGGCTTTTTAGATTGTGTATCTGTATAAACGATATAAATGGAGAAGGCGAAACATGACTCGGACGATTAATTGTAACATATAACTTAGAAAAAAAAATGTATTACAAAAATTCAAAGGATAATCAAAATAAAGTGGAGAAAAATGGACCGACGTAGTACTGCGGATAATGAATCGATTGAATCGAAGATACTATCGAGGTCTTAATAATTGAATTTATGGGGAAATTTAATTGTTGCAACTGTTGTTTCCATATATACATATATATATATGGCTGAAAACACGATGAAAAGGTTATATCGTTACGTCAGCGACCTTGTGAGATATGACCTTTCTATATTAAGGTAACAGTATGAAGAGACCCCCGAGACCATTCCAACCACTTAGACGTCTCTGTATCAATGTAAGTGCATCCAATAATACGTGTAGTACCAGGGTGACCGAGCTTTGTTCGGAGTGCTTATACATTTTAAGGCGTTTAAAAACGATCAAGGCTTGGGTGTCAAATTATGCTCATTTAGATAGCTTTAATTTATAATTTATAAATTTAAAACAATTTCACCTTTCTAAATCTAATAAATTAAAAAAAACTCTTAAAATTTAGGTGGCAACCCTATTTATAAAAACGTCGGATAAAAGTACATATATGGTCCTTTACGCTAGGCCACGTCTTGCGAATAATGGCAAATGTTCCAGCCCTAAAGCCTAAATTACAAAATTTCTGTTTTTTTTTTTGCATTTTGATTTATTTTTTATTTTTTGCTTCGAAGACGTAAACGACACGAATACGAACACGAAGACAAATATGGAAACGAAAACGATTATGAGGACTATCTAAAGGCGAACACGAATACGATCGCGAATATGAAGGCAATCATAGAGACGAATTCGACAACGACGAAATATAAAAAAACGAGCACGAATACGAATGCGGAGAAGATGGTTGCGCAGACAAATGTGAAGGTCAATACGGAGACGAAGACTTATGTAAAAACCAAAACGAATGCGAATACCAACCAAAGACGAATACGAATGCCAAACCGAATACGAAGATGAATACGAAGACGACTGCGAAGCCAATTGTAAAGGCCAATACCAAGACGAACACAAAGGCGAATGCGACGGCCAACCCAAGACGAAAACGAATACGTATTTACTTATATACAGATGAGAACGAATATGAGCACGAATAAGAAGACGAATGTGAAGACTAATAAAAAGACGAAGACGAATACGTTTACGAGTGTGAATGCGGCGGAGACAAATACGAATACGTGTCCAAAGTCGAATATGAAAATTAAGCCCAAGGATAAGATTAATACATATGTATTAAGCTTAAAACAAGTTCCTGCAATATGAAGCATACTAAAAAAATATATCGAAGGAAGTTTCACCATAGTAGTGTGGCCCGCAAACAAAAAAAAAGTTTATGGGTTACCATTTTGTTTTGTTTCGTGTTTTTGTTTATGTTATAGTTTTTCTTTTTTTGTTTTTGCATTGTTTGGAAAATATTTCAGGCTTGGGCTATTTGTCCGACTGTCAAAAAGTTTATAAAACATGTTTTATGGAGAAATTGTTTAAAAATTCTAAAAAGCCTGTCGAATTTAGACAGTATATATGTATGTATTTTTCATTAAAACCCGCAGTATGTTTCATTTCTTTAAGTTTTGTGGACAAAATTTAAACAAATGCACAATTTTAAATCTAAAAATCATACTAATAACACGAAATTACTAAAACCGCACGAAGATACTTCATATTTAATTAGATGGAGTAGTCTAGTCTAAAGTATGTTCAGATAGGCCACTAATCGAGCAATTAGCCAAACTTTCTAGATTATGGCGCTAATTGAGCTCGATTTACCATACACGATTTCGATTCGTCATTGCTCGATTAGAGCTTAATTGCGTGCTAATCGAATGAATTTGTGAGATATGTTTATTGAACAAATAGCAATCAGCTGTTTGTTTCTGGTCCTCTTTTACAGCTGATGCTCCATCCATCAGGGACGGAAAATTTAATTTTCAAATTCTATGTAATTTGCGAAAAAACTTTACCTAAAAGTAGATAAATGTACCTAAAAGTTAAATATGTATTTTTATATGTACATACTCTGCAAACCAAAGTTTCCGAAATCTTTAGGAGTATCTCATTTCTGTAACGATTGTTTTACAAATCTTCAAAGGAAAATTATATGAAGGCGTTGACACGAACTCGTAAAGAAATTTCTGTACGAAAAATAAAGCAGTCTGAAAACAATCTGCAACATTATTTTCATTGCTTTAGCGATTTTCTTCCGAAATTTCGCAAAAGAATCGAAGTGTGCACAGCTTATTTAATTTTAGAAAATTCGGCAAAAAATTGGATGAGATTTTTACGAATTCTTTAACATTTCTCTACAATTCAGAATACTCTGAAAAAATGGTTTGCAGGGTACATATCATGATAGAAAATAGGAAGGTAGAACCGCTGAGAGGAATTTTTGCAAGCAATTTAATTTGAAAATTTTACACACAAACTCGCACACACACTCTCATTTTCAATCTCAAACAACAACTTTGAACATTTCCTTTTTTTACTCTCAATTTTATATGATGTTAAAATGTTGGCAAACTTCAAAAAAAAAATCATGGCCGACGAATTGAGAGATCGGTTTTACCTTACTATGTTTTTATCATGGTACATATACATATATTTAAGTAATTAAGACGATAGCCTATACTATGTAAACTTCTGGACTCACATTAAACAAATTTGGGCATAAAATTAATCTCTTCGAACAGTTCGAGACACAACTATGTTTTCGAAAAGGTGAATCACTTTCCTTCAAGTTCTTTCATCTGACGTTTTAAAAATAAAACTATACTCGCTTTCTGTCTGACGTAATCAACTACGGTTAAATACGTTACTTCGAACTGCGTATCGCTAATCGAGCAGCCGACTGTGTCTGAACACCAAGGGGCAGTAGCTCTATTAAAAGGTGAATTAACTCAATTAAATTTCCGTCGGAACGTAATATTAGTTTTTTTTCTGGTATGTTATTTGGTAGTTTTTTTATCTGTGAACATATTTTTGGAATTAGTCAATTTTTCCGCTTTAATACAGATCTCTTATGTTTCCACCTCATAGCTACATAGCTACATTTATTTTCGAGTGGTAATCGCGTTGCGAACGCTAGAAAAAATTTACACTGAAACCATAGATGCGAAGAAATAAAATTTCGTAGGCCGGTGATTAAACCATTTGTTCAATTAAAAAACAAAATAAATATTTTACGATAGCATGACTTTTTTTATTAAATGGAAATACATCTCTATATAGTTATGTATGTATGTATAGTATTGTATGTTTATATTTAATATGTAGATATGAATGTTAATGTCACAAGTAATGTGGCTTTAATGAATTTTGTACCTTGTTCACGTTTGGGAAACGGTTCAAAAAAATTTGGACGAGTTTAGTCTCGAAAGCGCAACCTCGTATTGTAGAATTTTTGAAGCTGATTTTTTAAATCCGTATAGTTGTTGAAAAAAAAAACACTGTTGTCGAAAAATTTCAAGTTTGCTTGCCTAGTGTTATAACGGATAAGAATTAAATTCATAATCGAATAACGATATTTTTCCCCTATGAAAACAACTATCAACTTTTGAAGAACTGAGTTTTTTATATTTTCATCAGGCAAGTTTCCGTTTTTTTTTCTTCGGAAAAAATGCACCCAAATTATTATTTTTTTAATTTTTGATTGGGTCAAATATTTTTATATCTTTTTTTGAAATTGGCAATTTTTTAATACTGCAACATTTTTTTCTCAAAAACTAGATGTTTTAGAAATTTTTTTTTTAAACGGATTTGAGATCAAACTCGTCCCAAAAATTTTTTGTTTACCGTGTTATTTGTATGTGGAGATGCCGCTTAAATACTATACGTACACATATTAAGTTCCTGCATTAAATAAAACAAGAAACGAGTGGTAGTATGAAATTTATAAAAAAAAGTCTAAACCTAAACTAAAACTAGGCAAACCTTCATTAAATTAAAATCCTTTGTCTCTCAGCCGTATTCTTTTGAACGTTTATGTTTTAATTTCTATTTGTCACATGTGCGAATCTCCCAATTCATTTGTTGTCCAGGCTAGGAAGGGGGTCCCAGTGTTTTTTTTTTTTTTTTTTGTTTAATGTCGGTGACAGAATTTCGAAAATGCTTAATCTTCTTATAATTAATATTCCGTAAGTACTTAAAAAATAATAATGTAAAGTGGGTTAATAAAATGAGCACATAATCGCGATTAAAATACCGCAAATCGCTTATCTACGAAAAGCGCAGGGATTCAGACGAAAATCGCTGTGCTTACTACTAGTAGAGACGACATTTGAAGTTGTTGGGGTCTCGGTGGAGCTGACACCTAAAGGTAGAAGAATACAAAAATCGTGCAGATATGTATGCATATCGATATGTGTGAGTAATGCAACTGAATATTCTTTACAAACCTTTTTCGGAGTGTCCAGGGCTGTTCGGTGGGGATGGTGAGTCTAGTGATATTATAGTCGTATCAGCATCTGAAAATGGAATTACGTAAATGTGCAGGTTAGATAACAGAGGATTTTAGTTATGTATGTATGTAAATTTAAAGGAAACGAAATAAAATTTAATCTACATAAATTCAAACCTTAGTAAACAGTGAAGGAAATCGAAACGAATACATTTTTATAGTAAAAGTGCATAAGACAAAAATTAATGCGGGTATTCTCGAAGTCTCGGAATGCACGAATTTCATGTTATAAACCCAATTTTCCTATGGGAAAGATTTGCCAAGCGTTCATTCCGCATACCGTACAAGACCTTTGTAGGGCTTCGAGAATACCCATAATGTATGATGTAATTAATTCATAGTAAGCTTTTCTTTACACCCAATAATATGCTTAATATTTTTCACACCCGATATCATTATACACATAACTAATTTTTGTAAAAAAGATTTAAGTATATTACAACAAAAGACATACAAATAAAACTTCTAAACTTTATACAAAACTGAGGAAAATTCAATAAATTTGCATACAGATTTGCAATTTTCTAATCCGATTTTGTAGTATAAATTTTGGGTATTCAGTTTTGCAGCTTATTAAATTTTAGAATAACAAATTGAATTTTTCAGGTTTTTAAAAAATCGTTTTGAATTTTACCGACAGTGGCACGCAATTTTTCCCTGAAAACTTCTCCATCTTTTTAATAAAGACAACGTCAGAAAAAAATTGTTAAAAATCAACGCGATTTGTTAAAAACTTTAAACCTTGAGATTTTGCGAAAAAATAAATTTAAAAAACTGTCCATACGAAAATTTTAGTGGAACGCTGTCTGTATGTATCATCTCTATTGCGAGTGTCGACTAGCAGTAGATATTATCTACTAGATAATCGACTATTATTCGATCATCGATTTTCGGTGATATTGCGTGTGTCGATTACTCGCTCAGCTAGCGACTGTGAATGGTTTTTGATCGCTAACCATTCTACTGCCATTTTTTAGTCGTTGAAGTACAAAAACCGAATTTAATGTAGAAAAGTGAAAAACGATAAAAAGCAAGTTATGTTCATTGAAAATGCTAAAAATTTGTATATTATTTGTATCTGAATTACAGACCCAAATTTGTAAATTATGAAAAGCAAAAGCAGTGATAATTTTTCAAAAACCTGTAAAATTTATGGTTTAGCAAATTTCTTCAACTATTCATGAAATTCAGGGGAAATGTTTAGTAATTCGTATAATGATTTTGTGTTGCGTAGCGGAGAAGGAGGGGGTATGGGATCAAAAGCTCACCCATTAGAAAAAGCCCAGTCCAAAATTTAAGAAAAGTTATCCTTCCCCTCTCCGTTAGAAAATAGCGTAAAATTTGCATTTCGATATAGAAAATGTAAACTCACGTTATGCCATCCGCCGCAGTATATTTGAAAACTAATTCACAACCGCGGAGCTTCCGCATTAATTTTAACAATCGCTTTCGCATTCGCAATAAATGCGGAGCTTTTGCCAATGCGAATGTGTGCAAGTGTACCGATAAAAAGCTTGTAGAAAGTATATCTGGCAAACAAAATTACAAACTGTAGCCAATATTTTTTGCCTGTGGGCGTGGTAGGATTTTTGTGTAACAAAACTGATAAAATGTCATATTTATCAACTTTGATAAAAATGCCTTCTAAACATATTCACCCTCATTGCGAGAGTCGTGTCGAATACAAGTCGTTTTTCCAGAGTCGAATCGTACGAAAATTTTACGTCATTGCCCAAAATTTGCACTCGACTAGTGTATTAAAACGGAAAAACTTGGCAGCACTGTATAGTTTCGAACGATTTCCTTAGTTTACTTATTTCAGCATGTCAGTAGACAATGCCAATGTTCGTGTCGAGTCGTACAACTTAGCCTGATTTACCACTTACGCAATGAGGCTGATTATTTCTTAAGCTATATAATCGAGCTAGTTAGCAATCGGCAGTCATAGAAGTTCCCACTTCTGCCTGACCTTTGGCGTACGTCAAAGAGAACATAGTACTTCTAATAACATATACTTTTTTGTTTTCTCTTCTTTAAATACCTGCATACTTGCTACCTTTGTTTATTATGATTTTTTTGGACCAATCTTAAAAAAAAAAACTACTAGACATAAAGAAGAAAGTATGAACTGTTATTTTAAACCAAATTGTCGTCATTTGCTTTTGATGTTACATATATTCGTTTCAATCATTTCAAATGGGGCTCTTTGGGAAATTTAATTTTAGCACAAATTTAAAAAAAAAAAAAACAGTAATTTTGTTTACTTGTCGGACAATATTTTTTCATAGGGAAATATGTACATTGGATCCTTGGCTAAAAGTCTCTGAGGTTAAACTGTCCCCTACACTGAGGAAAATAATGCATAGTAAAAATGAATACTTTATATTTGATTATCGTTTAAAAATGTTCGTATTTAAAAATAATATTTTCATACAAAATTTATTACGCACGTATTTGACTGTTCACATCTGAGTATGTATATGAATTTATATGTCTGGGTGTAGCTGAGTGCGCAAAGATGCTTGCCACAAGTTGTTGATATTCTGAGATGGTCGGGTTCGAATTCCACTGTAGGCAACATGCAAATTAATTTTTTTTTTTAGTTTTTATCTTGATTATTCACTTCACGGATGCTTTTTCAATACGAACGCGGTCATTTTAATATGCGCGTAATTGAATTGAATGTTTACCAATATACAGTACTTTCGTTGACGTTTATAGTAATATCAATTACGTTTCTATTTGATTTTAATATTGATGATCTTTAATTAGGTAAGAATTATGTAACTATCTGAGACACTCATCATCCGTGATTCCAATAATTCAAATGCTTATCAAAAACCGCGTGCTTTTTTTTTTAAATAACAATATTCTGATCCGATTCGGCTGGCAGCCATGACTTTGAAAACAGAATTTTGTTCAAAATTTTCATTCCTGGAAAATAAAAAGTTATTTTCCATATCCACCTATTTAGCTCGCTATAAGCACAAATTTTTCAAACCAGTCGCAGAAGAAAGTATTAAAAATTAATTACAAAAACCAAAATTGAAAAACGTTGATGACGTTACAGGTTCCCCAAATTATGAAAGAGACAAAGGCATGAGAACGAAGAATTCTTTTTAAAAAGCTGTAGAAAAACCTGACACAAGTCAAACGCTTGTAAGCGCTGTTAAAACAACGATCTCGCCATTATGCTAGATTCTTCAAGTAAAGATGAAAGTCAGGAGGATACATCCGACATGTTCAGCCCCGATGCCCATCTCATTACTTTTTATTAAATATAATGTTCCAATTTTTAAACTCAAGTACTAAATAAAACAGGCATTATTAAAAATTACTAGCTTTTACATTTTTTTATTTACCTAAACAACTTAATTTACTTACCTAATTGTTTCTTAAAAGTACTTGACATCCGCATCCGCATTCGCATCCGCGGATGTCTAAAATTTCACATTCGCAACATCCCTAGTATGTACATTAGACTTCCCCCCTCATTTTATTGGTTTTGTTTCAAAAACTACCCAAATAAAATTGTATGCAATTCGGACCACGGCAACCTCAAATCTTTGTGCAGTTCGCGTATTTTGTTAACTTACTCATTTTACTTCTATATAAGGCGGTATTACTATTTTCCATACAGTATTTGGGCAGAATACTTAGTAAATCTGGGCTTTTAGTTTTTTACCGGTGGTCAGGATTTTTCCAAGGGACCATAAATTATAATATATTTTCAAAAGATTACACAAATCAAATAAACGAGAAATTCAAAAAAAAAAAAACAATAATAAATTTTATTTTCAATTATCCTTTTGGACATGTCAAAAATGTCCTTTAAAAATATTATTCTTCAAGATTTTTGATTTTGAATGCATTTTGAAGAATCTTAGTTTAATTTATGTACATCCTATTTTAATAAAAAAAAGTTTATAAAACTAAGAATAGATCGCAAAAAACAAAACTAACTTCTATTCTCATATAAAAATTTAAGATTATCGTTAATTTCTTCACGATCCAATTATCGGATCTAAACAAAAAAAGAATTATCGAAATCGCTTAACGTGGTCCAAAGGTATGTGTTAACATATACATAAAAAAACTCCGGCGAACTGATAACCTCCTCCTTTTTTTCAAGTCGGTTAAAAATAGTGCTTATACGTCGGGCAAAAATTTTTTTCGAGCAAAAAAAAATACGTTTCATTATTTGGTCCAAAAAACAAAATTTTTCAGTTTCATCGAAATAAAAAATCATTCCCCTACCTGAACTGTTGTCTTGAAATGGAAAACATCAGCTAATATCTGAATTGCCTCATTTTGGCTGAGAGTGCGAGTAAAAACGTATTGCCAAATGTTCAAAAAAAAAGCCAAATTTTGGCATAAGTCTAGAATACGAACCGTTTAGCTATGCAAAAACCAAAAATGTGGCTCTCACGCTGATTTCAACTGTATTTTTTGATTTTTTTTAAATATTAGTATGTCATGAACAGCAATCCCCTTCTTATTTTAGTGTAGTAGAATCAGCAAAAAAAATGTAGTAGATTTCAATCGGATGTGGTCGATTTTCTAATTTATATTTTTAATGGGTGTATACTAGGGTTGTCCGTAAACAGTAAAGTCGGAATTGTAATGCTCTCACCCCCTAGGATTGTTCGAAAAAAAGTATACCCTATTTTTTTATTTTGACATCAAAAAATATTTAGAGGTCGCTCGAAGCGCTCAAAGGTTTCCATGTGTTTTATATGGGCAAAAAAACAACTTTTCGTAGAAATAGTATAGAATTCTTGAAAATCAATCATTTTCGACCGGAAAACTCGGGTTCTCTTCAGGAGACTTTCAATACTAATACCCAATTTTTTATTCGCCCCATTGCATTTTTCTGGGATTTTGTGGGTTTTTGGCGGTCCTATAAATTATAGTTGCGATGAAAAAATGGTTAAATAAACAATTGGGTGTTATTATTGGGAACCTCCTGCAGATAAGCAGTGTTTTCTGGTAGAAAAATAGTGATTC